CCCCCCCCCCCCCCGACTGAGTCTGACCCAAACCTCGTCCTCAGCTGCACTTTCTTCATAAATCTGGCCTGAAAAGCAGGAGTTACGTGTGTGGCATTTTTAGTCTTTTCTTGAAATTCAGGGTCATGGAGACACTGGCATGTGTGGCTCCTGGAGGGATGGAGTGGTGCCTGTGTTTAACTTCCCCCTGGAAGCCTTTGCCTGATGCCGGGACTTTTTCTGCAGGAGAAGATAAGCGAGGACCTCAGGGCCACCCTGAATGCATTCCTGCACCGGACAGGGCAGCACAGCAGCAAGTGAGGGCCACCTTCTGGTGCGAGGCCCCTTCACAGAGGGAAACTGAGTCTCCGCTTGAGCTCATAGGGCTGCTGTGGGGCAGGGCGGGCACAGGGCAATGGGAAGGGCCCGTGGGGGTGCAGAGGGGGTGCACCTTTTTTGCATCCTTGTGGGGCCTTCTGAGAGGACGCGCTGGGGTCTCAGGAGGGCCGGGCGGCAAGTCCGCATGCACAGGGCGCTGCACTGGGCGTCCCTGGCTGCTCTCTCGTGATGGGCCGTCAGGGTGGTCACCCCACGACTAGGTGTCCTGGGGTGCAGGTTGCCCTGGGAAAGGGCTCACTCCTTACGAGTCCCCTAATCCTGCTCTCCTCCATTGTCAAGGCCCCAAGTCAGCTGTGTGGCCACCAGATCATGTGCATCCTCCTTGCCTGCTGCGGCTGTTGCCTGCAGAGACCCCTGACCCTGCTCAGGCCCCCTAAGAGTCTGGTCTGGTTCCTGCAGAGTTGGCGCTTCTGCTCAACCAGCTAAACCCCAAACCCTGCAACTCAGGTTGGGCGGGGGGGGGGGGGGGGGGCGTGCAGAGATCTGTATGGTACCCCGGGTCCCTGTGCTTCCTGCGCACAGCAAGGCTTACGTGGCCGCCCCATCGCGCCGGCCCATCGGTCAGGGAGGTGTTGGAGGGAGGGATGGGTGGTAGAGGGCAATGCTGGGTCTGGGTTTTTCTGGGTTAAAAAGCTGCCAGATAGATCCTGTTAGTATATGTGCTGCCGAAGCGAGCACGAGATAGATCCTGTTAGAAAATAGTCCTGTGTGGGTTGAAGAGGCCCCCTATCCCAGGAGCAACCCCTCAGCCCCTGCTGTCTCTGCTGCCTTCAGGTTCATGCTGGTCCTGGCCAGCAACCAGCCCGAGCAGTTTGACTGGGCCGTCAACGACCGCATCGACGAGATGGTCCGCTTCGATCTGCCGCGGCAGGAAGAGCGGGAACGCCTGGTGAGGATGTATTTTGACAAGTATGTTCTGAAGCCAGCCACAGAAGGAAAGCAGTAAGTGTCCTGATGGCCTGGGTGTGTGGGGCCCTCCGTACCCCACCAGCTTCTGGCCCAGGTGCCACACCCAGTCCTAACCCTGTGGTTTTACCTGGGGCTCAGATGTGCTCACTTGCTGGCCCTGTGCTTCCGTCCCAGTCTTTGCCAGGTTTTTGACTCAGTGGCCCATCGTCACAAACTAGCTAGCACCTCCATCCTTTCCTGCTAGGTGAAGCGTCTTTTAACGATTTGGGGCTTTTGAGGAATCCAGGCTGCAGTCCTGCCCTGGGAAGTGCGGGGCCGTGACAGTGGTTGCCAGACCTTGGCTGAGCTCTGCTCACTGAGGCTGTTGGTGGCCGTCCTGGATATATGCTCCCTGCTCACCCTGACTCCCAGGAGCCTGGGGCCCCTCACCAGCACGAAGCAAGGCCCCCATTCTGCAGAAGTCACCGGGCGATGGGGCCACCCTCTCCCTCACTGCTCTCTGTCCACAGTGCTCCAGATACGTGAGGGCCGGTCTATTTTTAACTATCCCCAGGGAGCCAGACCTCGCAGCAGCATTGACCTGAATCCTTCCTGTCGCTGGTGGCAGTGAGAGCTGTCTTCTGTTCTGGGACGGGCTTTGCCTGCCCCTGCTGTCCCCCTGCCCCCTTGAATTCCATTATCTGGGCCTCCTTTCTCCTGTGTGCCCGGATGGCCCCAGTACCCCCCACCCTCCCAATCGTTTATTCTAGCCTGACAGACACCGAATGTGGTCTGAGTTCCTGAGGCCTCTTTTTCCATGAGTGTTTGAATGACTCTCCTCCTGTGAGCTCATCTCCTGGGTCTTCAGCCAGACCTGACTAGGAAGGGGTCCGCACATGAACCAAAGCAGTGACATGTTACTCTAACCTGGAGGTGTTGGCTTTTCTCCCTTTGATTTCCCACGTGCTTCCTACGCCTGACAGGTCGTGGCTGCTGTGCTGCTAGTTTGGGCGCTGATGGAGGTCTGAGGGAGAAGGACGCGGTCCCTGCCTCCGAGCCTGGTGGTGGCGCTGTGTGCGAGGCTCCGAGAGCCCCTCCGCTTTGGCACATCCTGACCAGCCCTCCACCTGTCTCTGGAGTGGTCATGCACTGCTGTCCGTACACGGCCCCCACACGGACCCCACCCGGGCTCCAGAAGGGAGGGAGGTGCCCAGCGGGTAGAAAGGGCAGGAACCAGGAGCAGATATAGGGCTTCCCAGTACAGGCTCCTGCGCCTGGCAGATACCCAGTCCTCCTTTCGCGTAGGAGCCGAGGGGTCGTCCCAGGCCCCCAGGGCGTCATGTGGGAATTGCTCTCCCCAGGCGCTTGAAGCTGGCTCAGTTTGACTACGGGAAGAAGTGCTCAGAGATCGCACACCTGACGGAGGGCATGTCGGGTCGGGAGATCTCCCAGCTTGCTGTGGCATGGCAGGTGAGTTGGGGACATGCACCCTGCAGGCGTGAGCCCAACTGGTTGGGAGACACTGAGTCACCTGAAGGCAGCCCGTGCAGGCCCCTGCCCCCCAGGGTGCTTCTGTTGAAGGATTTTCTGCACACAGATGTCACGCCCTGCTCTACTTCCCAGCCACCACCTGCTTCTGCCCCCACTGCAGGGAGCGTGTGGAGAGGTGTCCTTGGCTTCCCACATTATGGCCTACCTTATCGTCATTGTGGTTTTGGTCCAAATCAGATAAGGCTCTGAAATCAGTTGGGGTTCCCTGGAAATGAGCCAAGTGTCACATCGGCATCAAGGTCCCACAGACTCAGGCTCAGGCACCACTAGAGTTGGGACATGGTCTCAAGCCTAGCACGTTTGGGGCAGGTGACTCTACAGAAGGTTGGGGAGACCACGGGGGCATATGGAACTTCCCGTAAGTGGTCTGTGAGCTCATCGCAGGGCGTGTGAGATGAGCCAGGGTGTGAATCTGACCTGATAAGGGTTGGGCGTCTCCTTGCCAGCACTGTGCCAGATGGAGACTGCTGGTGTTGAGGACGTTGTCCGCTCCATACATAATCGGGTTTGCTGTGGGGTCTCGAGGGCAGCGTAGAGAATGCGAGTTGACTTTAGCCTTGTGCTGTGCTGTGACCCAGGGCACACAGCCCAGAGTGGTTCTTGGCATTACCCAATACCCGCTTCCTCCTCTGAAGTGCCCACAAGCCCAGCCCCCCCCCTCCCAGGACAGGGAAGCCATTTGACCCCCAGGGGTCCTGGGTGCAGCCGTCTAGAAAGCATTTGCAGCTTGGTGATTGCTGAGGAGAAAAGCTTTATCGGGTGCAGGGTGCTCAGTGGCTCCTGTCTGCAGCCGCCCTTGGCTTTGTGCCGCCATCACTGCCTCCATGGGGCCCGCAGTCAAATCTGACTGAGGCTGCGTGACAGTCTGATCGCTAGAAATGTGACAGTGCTTTTAAATGGATGTGTATTATGTTAATTAAATAGACATCTACTGTGACTTGAACCTAGCAGCTTGGATACACAGGAGCCTGTATGAGGATGAGCCGGGTTATGCCCAGCTCCAGACTGTAGACTCTGCTCCTACGTGTGATCGGGCAGCCAGGCGTTCTGCTCCAGCCGTCCTCACTCAGGACCCAGGCCCGACGAGGGTGGCTCCGTTTCCACAACCGACAGAGCGGAGGATAGGATGTCTGTCAGCTTCGGCTGCTGTGACGGTGCCACAGCCCAGAGGGCTTAAACACAGACGTGTATTTCTCAAGGTCCGGAAGGCAGGAAGGCCTGGACGAGGGTGCCAGTATGGTGGAGTTCTGATGGCAGCCCCCTTTCTGCCTTTCAGACGCTTGTTTTCTCGCGGTTTCCTCCTCCTGTGGCAGAAACAGAGATCTGTCGCATGAGGCTGCTGGTCCTGTAGAATCAGGGCCCCGCCCCTACGGCCGCCTCTGACGTTGCCTACTTCCTTAGAGGGCCCACCTCTAACTACGGCTGCTCTGGGGGTCAGGGCTTCACCGTATGAACGTGGGACGCGTCTGTCCCTGACTGCAAACCGTGCCCTGCAGTCCATGCCCGGTGTTTCCACCAAGAACCCGCACACCTCCCTTCTCTTTACGTCACATGTCACCTGCCCACGTGAGGTGACAGGTCTGCGAGCCTGGTGGATGGAGAACCGGGGAGACCTCCGGTCTGACCCCTGACCGCTGCAGGAGGCAGTGAGTAGGTGCTGAAGCCCACAGGATGCCCTCCCCGGGGGATCTGGTACTTGACCAGAGCGCGTCCGGTCATTGACTGGTCAGCCCAGCCCAGCATGTGTCCGGGAGTCCTGTCGTGCTCATGGGAGAGGAGAGTGAACCAGGGTGCTTCGGGCCTCGGCATCTGGGAGGGGTGCGGTGGCCTTGCTGGTGTGCCCTCTGGCTCAGGGTGCTCGTGGGGCTTGTCCTGCACACCTCCCCCTCCTTCCAGGCTGGACTTGTTCCCTGAAGCCCACGTTGCTTCTGTTTGTTTGTTTTGTGGGAGAGAGAGCAGGGGAGAGGGGCAGAGAGAGAATCTTCAGCAGGGTCCACGCTCAGCGCAGAGCCTGGCCCAGGGCTCAATCCCATGACCCTGAGATCATGACCTGAGCCGAAATCTGCAGTCGGATCCTCAACTGACTGAGCCTCCCTCCCGCCCCCCTCCTGGCACCCCCGCCCACGTTGTTAGTATGATGATGTTGTCGGTGGGGTCCGTGCTGCCTCTTAGCACACTGGAGTCCTCTGGCGTGCGAATTCGCTGCCTTTTCTTTCTTTTTTTTTTTAACCAAAATTTGCCACTTTAACCATTTTTAGGTGCACGACTCAGTGATATTAAGCACATTCGCATTGCTGTGCAGTCGTCCCCACTGTCCGCATCCAGAACATTTTCACCTTCCCAAGCCGAAATGCCATCCCATTAAACACCAACCCCACCCCTTTCCCCAGGCCGTGGCACCCGCTCTCTCCGAATGTGACCGCTCTAGATCCCACCCGTGAGGGGAGTCACGCACGTTTTGTCGTTTTGTGACGGACTGCCCTCGGTGTGATGTCCTCGAGGTCCGTCCGTGCCGGACCAGGTGCCAGCATTTCCTTTTCGGGGCGGAGTGGTGATCTGCCGAGTGGGCCGGTCTCATTCCGTTCGTCCGTTCGTCCACCGAGACGGACGCTGGGTGACTTCCACCTCTTGTCTGTTGTGAATAATAACTGCTGTGAACATGGGTGTGCGGGGGTCTCCGTGGAGCCCCACTCTTCACTCCTTTGAGCGTGCACCCCGAAGTGGAACTCTCGGATCACATGATAATACCGTTTTTAGTTTCGGGCGAGCTGACAGGCCACTTCCACAGCGGCCGCACTGTTTCCCTTTGCCACCAGCTGTGCAACGGGCTCCGGTCCGTCGCCCCGCTCACCAGCACTTGTTTTCCCGAGTCTGGATAGCAGCCATCTTGGGGGATGCGAAGTGTCTCCTTGTAACGTGGATGGCATTTCCCTGCTGGTTAGTGACAGCATCTTCTGTGCTTTCTGGCCAGGCATGTGTCTTCTTGGAAAAGTGTCTATATGGATAGTCCTTGCCCAGTTTCGAATCGGGTTGTTTTTTGTTGAGTTTTAGCAGTTTTCGTATTCCGGTTACTAACCTTTTATCAGCGGTGTGATTTACAAAGATTTCCTGACCTTCAGTGGGCTGCCTTCTTCACTCCATTGATAGTGTCCTTTGATGCACACAAGGTTTTAGTTTTGATGAAGTCCGGTTTGTGTTTGTTACCTATGCTGGCCGTGTCATAGCCGAGAAATCCTCAGTAAATCCAGTGTCTGCAAGCTTCCCCATGCTTTCGTCTAGTAGTTTTGTACTTCGAGATCTTACATTTAGGTATTTGATTCATTTGGAGTTAAGTTTTGTGCGTGCTGTTATTTAGGGGTCCAACTTCATTTGCATGTGGACGTCCTGTGTCCCGGCATCATTTGTTGAGGGCTGTCCTCTCCCCGTTAGAATGTGCGTGGCACCCTTGTTGAAAACCATCTCACCCCACATGTGAAGGTTTCTTTCTGGGCTCTCAGTCCTACTTCATCTGTCTAGATGACCGTCCTCAGCACTACTCTGATTGTGTTACCGTGGCTTTGTAGTAGATTTTTTTTTTTTTTTAAGTGTATTTATTTATTTTGAGAGAGAGTGCATGCAAGCAGGGGAAGGGCAGAGAGGGGAGGGGGGGTGGGGAGAGGATCCCAAGCAGACTCTGGGCTGTGAGCACACAGCCCAACACGGGGCTCAAACCCATGAACCCGTGAGATCATGACCTGAGCTGAAGTCAAGAGTCAGATGTTCAACCAGCTGAGCCACCTAGGTGCCCCCGTAGTGGGTTTAAAAATCAGGAAATTTGAGACTTGAAAATCTGTTCTTATTCAAGACTGTTTTGGCCATTCAGCCTCCCTTGAGATTCTGTATGAATTTTAGGATGGATTTTGATTTCTGCCAAAAACACCATGGGATTTCTGATGGGGACTGCAGCGATTCTGTGGATCCACTTTGGGTAGGTAGGACCGACATACTCACGTGTCATGACGCATGACGCACATGTCTTCCTGACTTTGGTGTCTTTAATTTCTTTCCTTTCGGCAGTGTCTTGTAGTTCTGAAGATACCACTCTTTGGCCTTCTTGGTTAAGTTACTTTCCTGCGTATTTGATTCTTTCTGATGCTGTTGTAAATGGAACTTTCTAATTTCCTTTCCAGATTGTTCATTATGATATAGAAAGACGTAGAAAGACAAATGGTTTTTGTGTGTTCATTTTGTTTCCTGCAAACTTCCTGAATGCGTTATTCTTGACAACTTCCGGGAGGAGATCTTTCAGATTTACTACATACGAGATTATATCGTCTGCAAACAGATCATTTTACTTTTTCCGTGCCAAACTGGATCCCTTTCATTTCTTTTTCTTGCCCGATTCCTCTGGCAGGGACTCCCAGTACTGTGCTGAATAGAAGTGGTGGGAGCGGGTGCCCTGGTCTTGTTCCTGACCTCAGAGGAAAAGCTCTCAGCCTTTCACCATTGATAATACATTTGCTGTGGGGTTTTCACATATGACCTTTAGAGCGTTAGGGAAAATGTTCTCTGTTCCTGGTTGGTTGAGTGCTTTCACCAAGGAGGGGTGTTGAGTTTTGTCAGATGCGTCTTCTGCATCAATTTGAGATGATCGTGTGGGGTTTGTCCTTTATTCTGTTTGTGTGGTGTAACACGTTGATTGATTTTCCTCTTTTGGGTCATCCGTGCATTCCAGAAGTAAATGCCCTCAACCTGCTACTGAATCTGGTTTGCAGGTATTTTATTGAAGAATTTTGTATCAATATTCATAGAGGGTATTGGTCTGTAGTTTTATTGTGGTATTTTTATCTGCTTCTACTGTCCGGGTTATGCTGGCCTCAGAATGAATTAGGAAGTGTTCCTTCCTCTTCGGTTTTTTGGCAAAGTGTGAGAAGGATCCGTTTCATAAGCGTTGGGCAGAATTCACTGGTGAAGCCGTTGAGTCCAGGACTTTCCTTTTTCTTTTCTTTCCTCTTTCTTTCTTTCTTTCTTTCTTTCTTTCTTTCTTTCTTTCTTTCTTTCTTTCTTTCTTTCTTTTCTTTCTTTCTTTCTTTCTTTCTTTCTCTCTCTCTCTTTCTCTCTTTCTTTTTCTTTCCTTCTCTCTCTCTCTCTCTCTCTCTTCCTTCCTCCCTCCCTCCCTCCCTCCCTTCCTTTCTTTCATGAAGGTTCCTGTTTCAGTAATTTCCAGCTCACAGGAAAGTTGCAAGGGTAGCGCGGAGCCTCCCCCACCGTGTGAGTGACTCCTCTTGACCCCTCTCCCGAGGCACGTTTGCCACGTCAGTGTTGACTCCACTTGGACTTCGTCTTTTCCAGGACCCCATCCACAGTCCCCCGTCTCATTCGGTTGCCCTGTGTCCTCAGGCTCCTCCAGGCCGTGACAGCTCACAGATAGATGTTTCTGGTTACTGACGGTCCTGACAGTTTTGAGGACTGCTGGTCAGGCGTTACATAGATTCTCCTTCGGATGTTTTTCTCACAATTAGACCAAGATTGTGGGTTTGGGGAGAAGACCCCAGCGATGAGGTGTCCTCCTGGTCATGGCCTCCGGTTTGGGGGCACCTAGTGCCGTACAACATCACAGGGATGTTGACCTGGTCAGAGTGGTGCCCGCCAGGGTTCTCCATGCAGAGTTACTGGCTTCCCCCTTTCCTCCTTTATTTGGAAGCCCATCGCCAAGTGTAGCCATCCCTCAGCAGGGGCCCAGCCCCCCTTGGGCGCTGTGGGATTCTGAGAGGGGCTGCTCCTCTCCCTCTGCCTTCCTACCAGGGAAGCTTCCGGCCACTTCCGGGCCCTGACCCACGTGGGCCCCTAGGCCGGTGTGCTCCCCTGGCGGTCCCCTCTTGCCTCTCCTTCACTGCTCTTCTGAGCCTATGTGCTCCCCCTGCAGCCCCCTGGCTCCATGGTTGGCCACGGGGTACTGAGGGTGGCCGTGTCCTAAGGGTAGGGCCGGCCTGTGTGAACAAAGTGACCGGCCATCTCAGATGGCAGGGACTTTCTCACAGTGCCCAACATGGGCTGAGGCCGCTCAGGTAGCTGGAGAGAGACAGGTGAACTGGCTCTGGCCCCCTGCCTGGCGAACACTGAGGCCGTCCGCACAGCCACCTCGGTCAGAGTGACAGGCTGGGTGACAGGAAGCAGGTGAGACAGTGAGTCACCTGGGAGGGGTGGCAGCCTGGCCGTAGGTGACCTGGCTGGTAGCCGAGGCACGCTGGGGCCTGATCTGATCGGCACGCTTCGGTGCCTCCACCCGTGTGCATGGCCGGGTTTGGGGCTGGGGAGCCCTGGGCAGCGGGGGCTCATGAGAGACGGAGCCTAGTGTGCTTTGGGGGTGGTTGGGCCTGGTGGGATACTCTCTGACCAAGTTGGGATCGCTGGGGGCTCCTGGGGAGCGCTCTGCCTAGGGGCCTTGCCCTCCCTCCGGTGTCACAGTGGCGCGTGTGCCCTGGCCCTGAAGCCAGCTCCAGTCTCAGGTAGAGGCCCTCCAGGCCTGTGATGGGGGTGCTGAGCTGCTTCCTGACAGCTGGCCTCAGACCTTCTATTTTTAGAAAGTCATTGAGAAACTCAGTGATGTGAGAATGTTGCACTGGTGCCAACTGGGGATGTGGGCAGGGCCGCAGGCATTGCGGGGACGGCAGCTGCCGTGGCTGTGGGTTCCCTCGTGAGCATGCACGTGTGGAGGGGGGCACGCTTGCACGCACAGGGAAGCAAGGCGTGTGCCGTGGGCACGTGTGTGTTGTGAGGCCAGGCCCCTCTTGAGACGGAGCACAGGCCCAAGGTTGAGGGTAGTGGACTTGGCCCCCACCCCACAGGAGGCGGTCATGTTCTCAAGGGTGGGGCCAGCCTGGCTGCCTCATCCCTGGGTCTGGCCCTGGCCTGCAGGGCGGGCCGTTCCTGGGGACTGGTGGGCGCTGAAAGCCTGAGGCTGGGCGACCCTTTTCCCCTCGGGCAGACCCTCTGGGTGCCCCACATCGGTACTCTCTTTCCCTGCCAGGCCATGGCATATGCCTCTGAGGATGGAGTCCTCACTGAGGCCATGGTGGATGCCCGGGTCCAGGATGCCATCCAGCAGCACCAGCAGAAGATGCAGTGGCTGAAGGCTGAGGGTGGCCAGGCTGCGTGAACTGGCCCTGGTACCTGGGGCACGCAAGCCAGGTGGCTTTGCCAGGAAGAAGCCCCAAGATGCCCGCCTTTCCCTGTGGCGGGCCTACACAGCCGCCCACCTCAGCATTTTTAAGTACTTCTCCAGTCAGGGCCAGGACAGCACTGAAGGCCTCTGCTTGGGACCAGCCGCAGCTATGGCGTCTTTGTGGCGGGGCCGGCTCCTCTCTCTGCCGGGCTGGGGCCGCCCCCTGCCCCCCAGGACACAACCGGGAGACGGGAGTCTCCAAGCCGGACTGAGTGGGGGAGAAGCCACTGTCCCCACGCCCAGGGACAGTGTCCAAGCTGGCTAAGCTCCCGTGGCCAGCTGCTGCATCTGTGACCAGCAGTACAGGGGGCCTGGCTGAGAGAGCTGGGCCCGCGTGGGGGGCTTGACCCTGCCCAGGCCCACCCAGCAGGTGAGGGGTGAGCAGAGTAGGCCCCCGTGCTGCCTGGTGGGAGTTGCTCTCCCCTGTGCTCAGGAGGAGGATGTACCCTGCACACGTCTGACTGTGATACACCCCGGGGGTAAGAACTAGCTGCCAGCAACTGGTGGGGTTGCCCACGAGGCCCAAGACCCCCTGGCCAGGACCATCCGGGGCTGGGGGGGGGGGGGGG